TTTATTTCAGGTTCAGTCATTTTAGTTCTTCAACATAAACTACATTTTTTTTTGTTAGTTGCCAAAGCAATATTTCTGATTATCATCTGATTTATCATTTTTCAAGTATCATTTTCTTTTAACTTCACTTCAATCACTGACATTTTAAATGTTGAAGTTAACTATAACAAAACTAATCAAGACCATTTATGAAAACTGAAATTGAGTGTTTGGTGCAAGAAACCTTGACTAATACTATAAGGTGTCTCTTTAAGGTCATAATTAATGTAATACTTAATATTAATACCTTTGTATCCAGTAGCTGACGGGCCTCTTTCTCACCATCAAGTCTTTCCTCCGACTGCCGCAGACGCCTGCGCAGGAACTCCACCTCTGTCTGCGCACATTCCAGCTGCAGCTGCAGCTCACTTTCTGCATGCACATGCAGGATTCACACACACCCACGCAAACAGTCATTATCTTTCTTCGCCAGCATGTTTGATTGCATCTACGCTTAAGCCTGTCTTACCTGTCGCCACTCCGCTGAGAGCTTCTTTATTCTTGACTTTCTGTTTTTCTTCCTCTAACTGCCTCTCAAGGGCCTCCAAAGACACTTTACTCTGTTCCACACGACTCTGAGACACAGTACAGAATAAACACACGGGCCTGACGCCCACAATTCAACAGGAGACACAGCGGTGAGGCGTTTGGGACAATATGACAGGCTATATTTGGAAAAGCATACTAATCATACTTTTTCTGCATTATATAGTATGTATAATGTGCAAAATATGCTAATTTTCTATACGCATGGGATACATTACCTACAGTACTAAATTTGCTGAAATGTGCACTATACAATAAATTATTAGTACTTTATCCCACAATGCATTGCCCTCTGCTTGACCTTACATTTCTAGTGTGACAAATGAACCAGTAATTTTTGAACCAGCCACAATTTTTAATGATTCATCTCTTTCTCGACTCATTATTTATTTAGACTGTCAGAAGAAAAGGTCTTTGTACACAAAAGTAATTTAAAAATACAAAATATCTTATGAAAGATGCTAACTGGATGCCATTTGCTGAATTAAACATGTAACCTGATTAGGTCATGTGACAATCTACAGCAGAATATTACTGTTTAAAATGTAAATTACATTTCACATTTTTTTATAATAGTAGTATATTTTTATAATTTATATTATATATAAAAATATTTTTTAATATATATACATAACATTTTTCTTAAATATATACATGCATGTGTGTGTATTTTATATATATATTTTTTTTTCATTTAGTTTAACATGATGTACTAAAATAACGAAAAATGAAATACATTTTAAAATGAATAAAAACTATATAGACATAAAAAAAAAAATAAAAAAAAATTAAAATGCAAAAAAAAAATCAAAAATAAACATTCAAAAATTTGTTTTAAATAAAATAAAAAACAAAAATAAAAAAAACAGTAATAGTATTTTTTTATGATACTAAAACAATCCTGGGTTGAGCTCATTGCATTGTGGAATACAGTATTTTATGCAGTATACTCATACTGGTATTGTTTGGCATATCTATACTGTATATTTATCTGTCTATACTTATCTTTTTAACTGCAGGCAGACATACATTACAGTACAAATATTTTGAGCGTCCCTTATTCTGCCCCTTATTTCCTTTAAAAAATTACCTTATTTTCCATTTCTGAAGTTAAGATTTTTACATCAAAACGAAAGCTCTAGAAAAATACAATGAATTACAAGGCTGTAGAGAACAGTGCACTATTGTAGACTTATATACAATTACATTATTTTAATATAGTCAGTCGTGAACTAAAGTGGGCCGGTCTAAGGCATGAAACTCCAGGGCTGAAAATGAGTCCCACTCCGGCCCTGTGCAGAACTAATATGAGTAGCATGATATTCTGAATGTTGCCATTATAACTCATCACGTGGACACACATCATGGATAGTTTGTGATGCAATTTCACAAATGGACAAATGATGGGTGGGCTGTACCTGCAGTTCCTTGTTCTCTTTGGCGAGGCGCAGTCTCTCTGTGCGCTCAGTGTCTAGAGCTTGACTCATGGCCTCCCCTCTGAACCTTTCATCACTTAATTCAGATACAACAGCCGTAACCTGCACACACACAGACGCACCATCATCTTTCAATGTCTCAGCAGAAGAGCTGTTCATTCATCAGCAGCAGTCATATGACAGAGATTAGCACTTCATGGATCACAAGCGAGTTTGTGTTAATATGCTTTCACTGATGAGAATTCATAACCAGATTCCATCCATCCACACCGACTGCTAGAAATTTGATTTTGAGATTCCTGATCTGACAGTATCATTTCATATGTGGCTCAGGGGGCACGGCACAAACATATACCTTGGTCTCCAGGTTGTCTGCAGTCTGACGCAGCTCATTTCGTTCTTTCTCTGACTTTTCCAGACGTCTCCTCAGAGCAGTGATCTCATCCTGAACAACAGAATGTGATACAATTATAATGGAGTGAAACGAATCAGATAAACAACATCACAGTCTAGACAAGACAGACAGATATAGACAGACAGATAGATAAATAGACAGACAGACAGACAGATAGATAGATAGATAGACAGACAGACAGACAGGTGATAGACAGACAGACAGGCAGGCAGACAAAGACAGATAGACAGAGACAGACAGACAGACAGACAGACAGACAGATAGATAGATAGATATGTATGTATGTGTGTTTCTATGTAAGTTAAAAACTGTGGTATCAAATGTTCACACGTTAAATACAGCAATAAAGCAATTTTGAATTGAATTGAATTGAATAGATAGACAGACAGACAGACAGACAGACAGACAGGCAGGCAGGCAGACAGACAGATAGAGACAGACAAGTGATAGATAGATAGATAGATAGATAGATAGATAGATAGCCAGATAGATAGATAGATAGATAGATAGATAGAGAACAAAAAAAACAAAAAAAAATAAAGAAATTAAGTAAAATTTTGACAATTGCACATAGAGAAATATATTTTTCATTTTTGTTGCACATATGTACTTTAATTACACAACTATCATTGTACAGATGATTACTGGACAGTTTGATTATTTAGAGGTTTAAATATGATGTATAATATGAACATGTCCTTTGTGAATGTGTCAGTACCTCTTTGGATCTGAGCCGCTGGTCATCCATGTTGACATCCAGAAGAGGGCGCACTCTGCACAGCAGCTTCCACCAGCTCCAGCGGGCCACTGCAGTGAGGACTCGCACATTTCTCTGAATACAGCTCACTGCCATCTGCTGAACCTGATCCCAGATCAGCACTCACATTAGACGCTGAATCAGACCCACACTGACACAACTATACACAAGATTGTAGCACTATTACTAAAGGCCATTAAAAGCCGTATTTTACACCTTTCCAAGAATTTAATTTCCCCCCTTTCCTCCCTATAAAGAGAAACATCACTACAGAGAGTCATCTCTGAGCCCATATCCGCAGATCTATAAACATGGGCTATTCTAGCAGAGGACAAAAGAGACTCACCTTCATGCGGCGGTATTTCTGGCGGCCCAGATGACCCAGACAGGACGCTTGAAGCTGCACCAGCCAGCCGCTCAACAACTGATCTCTCTGCTGATCTAAAGACCTCAGGACACCACGCTTCATAAACACCTTCATAAACACACACATCAGAGAGAGAATGACCTGAAAACTTCAGAAGTGAAGGATGAAATAAAACCTGTGTATGTTATAGGTACATCTTGATTATTGATAGATAGATGGATGGATGGATGGATGGATGGTAGATAGATAGATAGATAGATAGATAAGATGGATGGATGGATGGATGGATGACTGGCTCACCCTGCTCGCTCCTAAAACAATGCTTTTCTTGTCCAAATCCAGATTAATCAATAATTCCTCCACAGCCTGATATAAAGGGATGCAAACACAAACAGACAGAGCTCAGGCCCACTTTTGGAACAGCAGCTCCCTGAATCAATCAGGGCTGTTCAAGCAAAAACTGGCTAATCAATAAACAAGTTAATAAACAGGGAAATAAATAACGTCATCATTTGACATCATTAAAAATAAATGACATTTTAACAGAGGGTAATGAGGTGCATGTGCGCCTTGGTGATTCAGGACGTCCAGACCTTCCTCTCGTCTGGGGTAATGAAGACAGAACCGTATCGCTTCATTATGGGAGCAGAGAGGGCCTGAAAACGACAGCGGAAATCACCCAGGGACATGTGATCAGCGTAGCCTGCAACACACAGACACAGAGACAGAGCTTGCGGTCTTTGAAACGACATTTGGTAATTAACAATACAATATGGGACCTGATTTTGGTTTTTACGAGGAGAACTGCTTCATATGTTCAGTATGTTTGAGATGCAGCACACAACCTGAGCAATCAATTGGTTAAAATCTCCAATCTTAAAGAAACAGTTCACCCAAAACTGAAAATGTGCTGAAAATGTCCTCACCCTCAGGCCATCCAAGATCTAAATGGGTTTGTTTCTTCATCAGAAAAGATTTGGAGAAATGTAGCATTACATCACTTGCTCACCAATGGATCCTCTGCAGTGAATGGGTGCCGTCAGAATGAACGTCCAAACAGCTGATAAAAACATCTCAATAATCCACACCACTCCAGTCCATCGATTAACATTTTGTGAAGAGAAAAGCTTCATTTTTGTAAGAATCAAATCCATCATTTACATGTTTTTAACTTTAAATCATAATGGATTCCATAACCTACAATATTGCTTTCTTCAGTGAAAAGTCGTCTCATCTGAATCAGAAGAGAAATATGCACAGATCAAGCACTGTTTAGTAAAAGCGAAAACCAAGTTGCAATACAGTTCTAAACAAAAACGTCAGTGAATTTTGATGTGAGAGGACAACAGTGGATGGACTTTTTCACTGGAGGAAGATATTTTTTATGAACTTGTATTTTGGCCAAAAGCGACGTTTTAAAGTTAAACACGCCTTAATGATGAATTTGTTTCTTATAAACATGCAGCTTTTCTCTTCACAAGATGTTAATTGATGGACTGGAGTAATGTGGATTGCTTGTGGATTATTGTTATGTTTTTATCAGCTGTTTGGACTCTGATTCTGACGGCACCCATTCACTGCAGAGTATCCTCTGGGTGCTAGCTGCTGAATTTCTCCAAATCTGTTCTGACGAAAAAACAAACTCATCTGCATCTTGGAAGGCCTGGGGGTGAGTAACTTCTCAGCAAACAAACAGATATAGAGATACTTGCAACTAATTGGCTTTAATGAAGTACAACAGAAGTCATTAGCGTCTCATACATGATAAGAAACAAACATGCATGAGTGTGTGTGTGTGTGTGACCTGTTCGGTACAGCTGCAGTGCCGGCAGCAGGTGTGTGGAGTGCAGCTGTACACGCAGTGCTGGGACATCAAAGCCACAGCCATCTGTCTTCACACTCAAACACTGCAGGAAGACCGGCCGCGCTCGCCGAATCAGATTCACCAGAGCATCCTGCTCAGAGAGAGAGAGTCACGGAAAGAGTCAAGAGGATTTACAGACAAAATGCAGATGGAAACGGCTGGCTCATTTGTTTCTCACCGCCTGCAGTTTGACGGCGATGCACTGTGAATGTCTCCTGAGGGCCGCCATCCCACCGCTCAGAGTCTTCCGCACCGTGCCGCATCTCTCCAGAGAGCGCTGTGAGCCGCCCTCCACGCCTCCCAAACCCCGGCACAGAGGCGGCACGGACACCCGCCCACTGAACAGGGCCTTCACCGCTCCACTGAGAAGAGGAACAAGAGGGAGAAGGAGAAGAGAATTTGGGAGTTGTTAGTATGAACCCACATCCGTTTGACTTCATAATTCGGTTTGTTTTTAATTGGTTAGGAAGCATTTTTTTCAAGTTCATGTGCACTCCAGTGAGATTTACAAATGGTATGAAAGCCATATGGCATGTTTAGTACACATGAACTACAGTACTGATGATATAAAAGTCATTAGTATTAATAAAAAGTGAAGTTACTGTCATCTCTCCATTATATCAATAAAAGTGGCAAAAAAAGCATGTGGTGCCATGAAAAAAACAGATATAGTATTTCCAGACATAGCTTAAAAGCATAGAAAAATGGCAATAATTAATTAAATTAAACATTTATAAAAACAATTAAATTAAACAATGACTTTTTTTTTTCAAATTAACGTCTATTCCGTATTATAATGTTACACAACCTACTACAGTACTGATAACGTAAAAGTCATTAATATTAATAAAATGTTGATTTCCTGTTACCTCTCTATTATTACAAATCAATAAAAGTGCCAAAGAAATAGTATATGGTGCCAGGTATGGCATCACTAGATATAGTTTAGAGAACAAATATCAAAATGCTTGTTATACAGTAAATATTTTTAATTTTATTTTCATCTTAATTGAAGTTTTTTAAACAATTCGATTAAACAATTGAATGTCTTTCAAGTTAAATTAGTTTTAAATCATCTCTAGATATAGTTTGCAGAACAAAAAGCAAAATGGTAGAATTTATAAATATGGGTGGTAATTTTTTTTAATTTAATGTATGTAATACAATTCAATGTCATGTTATTTAATTTAATCTAAGTTTCTAAGGACACTTTCATACTAGAGGTTTTGCTCAAATAAACATCTGAATATTGAACTTTGCAAATTAAAATGCGAAAAAAAAGTTAGTTATATATTAATTATAAATATAGGTGGTAATATGTATTTTATTTAATTTTATAATTTTATTTTAATAAAAAAAAAATTTATTATACAATTAAACAATAGAATTAGTTTTAAGTTGGTTGTGGTTTACAGCTGTTATGAAAGCAATCTGGCATGGTTTGTACACATAAACTACAACAGTATTAATGTTGTATGCTGCATTTCTACAGAGGAACTGTGTTTAGTGAGCAGCATGAATTCTTTTCATCGCTTGCTATGCATTTTTAGTACAACTAAAAAAGAACAAAAATGGAAAGCAAACAAGCACTTTTTTCTAAAAGTTGTCGACACCAAGCTCATGGTAGCCCTCGCACTGATGCCGTCTGTATTCACACTTGTCTTTATTGCGGCACATTTGCGTCATCAGCGTGAATACCATTGTGAGCACTAGCAGCAGATGTTTATCCCTGTTGCTAGGTAACAGTTCAGAAGGACAAGACACCAGTTTCACTGTGATTTTGAATTGGATTTATCACCAAAACTGAACACACACAGCACTTGCGTTTGTCTGCTGTAGACGTAGCGCAAAAGATGCGTAGAATGTGAGATGCTTTCCAACAGCAATTTATTCAGTGATAAGCAGCTATGAGAAATGCATTATACTATATTAAATGAGATGTGGAAGAATGCAAAAATGCTGATTATATGTCATAAATGTCACTTCTGTGGTTAAGGATGGACTGTTGTCACACTAATTCACATGAACCAAACACCAGACAATAAAATAAAATTAAAAAAATATTAATAAAAATAAAATATATTTATTTTATTTTATTTCATTTTCTGAAATAAAACGTATTATATAACCTTTTATTTTCTAATATATATTTTATTATATATATTAGTTCACATGAACCAAACATATTCAATATTTTAATATAATTAATATTTTAATAATACTCATGAATAATGTCAAATTATCAATAACTTTCAGAAATACCTTTAACATTTTATTTTAATTATGCAAGATTAAATATTCAGAATTTTATTGAGGAAAAGCCCTTGTATGCAAGCACTTTTAGAAGTCAACCATACAGCACTGAATAAAATAAAATAAAAACTTTAACATTTTATTTTAATTTGCAAGATCCAATATTAAGAATTTTATTTGAGGAAAAGCTCTTGTGCATCAAGGAAAAGCTCAACAGTGCAAACAAAACAAAACAACACAACACACAAAAAAAAAATCACACATATTTATAACATCTACATGTATTTCCTTATGTTTTACTACAATTTTTGGTATTTGTTCTATAAATTATTTATAAATATCATACCTGCTATTTTTCTTGGCACCTTTATATAAAATTGGAGAGATTCATGAAAATTTTTATATTATATTATATTTATATTTAATATTATAATGAATATTTTAGTAATACTAATGGATAGTAAACGATTAATAACTTTCCAAATAACAATTTATTTAAAATTTAATTGGCAAAGTTCAATATTCAGAATATTATCTACTAGAGGTCATCTACAGCAGTGCAAACGTCTGTGATCATCTGTATTCTCTTACATTGAGGAGTTCTGCAGGAGGGAACTGGCGTTAAGGACAGAGGGGTTGTTCTGGACCTGACCGAACCAGCCTGAGAGATCATAGCGGACTGGATCTGAACCCATCAGGTGAGCGATCTCACACTGCAGAGGCTGCTCGCACTGGCGCACTGAGGAGCAAGCGAGCAGAAAGATGAAACCTGAGGAAAACATCTCAAAAAACATGAAAGCAGCAGGTCAGGATCAGGATCAGGCTGGAGCACCTGTGCCGCTGAAGAACTGACACACTCTTTCCAGAACCGTGCTCTCGGTGGAGCCCGGAGTGACCATCTCTTCATCCAGAACCCACAGGAGACCTCGAGAGTCGCCTTCTGGTCCTCGAACCTGAGAACGCACACAGACGCACGCTGTGAAACTACACGCGTGACTGACGAGTGTAAGAAGTGTGCTGAGGATCGGTGAGTGATACCTGCACTCCAGGCTGGTCAACAGCACACACCACCTCTGACGGGCTCGTCTCAGGGGCTGTGAAATCGACAGCTACTCCCTCCTGTGAAAATTACTCAGAAACTTAATAATGATCTGAAATTAAAAATGTCATTTCTTGTCATCTCTCCACTATTGTATCAAATAAAGAGGCCAAAAAAGTTGCATAAGAAAAAAGTTTTTAGATATAGTTGACCAAACAACAAAATGACAGTAAAGCATGCAGAAATGAAAGAGATATAAATATGCATAGGAATGTTATATTAATTATTATTTTATATATTAATTTATTCATTACATTATTATTTTATATTATATTTAAAATAAAGTAATAAATCAAACTTATTTAAAGTTAAATTTAATTATATTAATCACATACAATATTTTCTATTAATAGTCAAAATTTGTATGAGGTTGTGAATAAAATTGCCAAAAAATCTATATTTGGTGCCATGAAAAATAACAGGTATGGCATTTTTAGATTTAATTTATTGACTAAATAGAAAAATGGCAGTAAAACATACAGAAATAAAAGTTATGGAGTAAGTATGGACAGGAATGTCATTTTATATATTATTTATTTAATTAAATTAAATTAATTAGCAAGGTTCATACTCAATGTTTCTTCGCAGTTGTCACTAACAAAAACCAATTTTTTTGAGGTTGTCAAAAATTTTTTTAATTATGTGGTGCCATAAAAAATGACAGATATGGCCTTTTTACATCGAGTTCATTGAACAAATAGCAAAATGGCAGTCTAACACACAGAAATAGAAGTTATAAATATATATAGGAATGATACTCTACTTCGTATTATTTAATTTTTTTAATTCAATTCAATTCAATTCAATTCAATTAATAATAACAATTGTTTGAGATTGTCAACAACAAACATCAAATATTTGTTTGAGATTGTCATAACATTTTTAGAGAGTTTATTGACCAAATAACAACATGTCAGTAAAACATACAGAAATTATAAATATTATTTTTTTATACATTATTTAAATATATTACTTTTTAAACAAAATTCAATTAAATTGAAATGAAATCAGCAAGGTTCATATTCACATGTAATATTTTTTGAGACATAACACTAGAACATCTAACATATCTCTGTAGTGGTTGGGGACGGTGTGTGTACCTGTGTGTATCTCTCCAGCGTGTGTGTGAATGTGTGGCTGAAGTAATGCTCCAGCAGTCTCTCCTGTAAGTAGTTGTGACAGAGCTCAGAGAAGCCGGCGGCCCGGTCATCACCGCTGTGCCTGGGGTTCCTCAGGCCCGGAGTGTCCACCACGATCACAGAGGCCAGCGTCAGCTGCTGAGAGTGCAGCGCTCTGGAGAGAGAACCAGAGAAAGCCTGGGAAACACTGCTAGATCACTCCAGAGAGATATAAGTGTCACTGAACAGTGTGTTTACCTGTTGATGAGGGACACAATAGAGGTGAAGAGCTCCTCATACAGACCAGCTGCCATCCCTTCCACACACTGAGCGGCACTCAGTCTCGGACCTGAAACACACACACAGTTGACATATTTTCCTTTTGAGGACATCCTTAATTAAATAGAGCTTATGTATGATTTTGCTAACTTTTGAATTATTAAGATTTTTTTAGAGATGTTTTTAAAAGAAGTTTCTTCTGCTCACCAAGGCTGTATTTATTTGATCAAAATACAATAAAAACAGTGATATTGTGAAATATTATTACAATTTAAAATCACTGTTTTCTATTTGAATATATTTTAAAAGGTAATTTATTTCTGTGATGCAAAGCTGAATTTTCAGCATCATTAGTGTCACATGATCCTTCAGAACTCATTCTAATATACGGATTTGTTGCTCAAGAAACATTTGTTATTATTATCAATGTTGAAAACAGTTGTGTTCCTTCATATTTTTGTGGAAACAGTGATACATTACCAATTAAAAGTTTGGAAGTTTGGGCTAAGAGAGATTAAAAAAAGGAAAGAAAAGAAAGAAAAAATGAATACTTTTATTCAGCAGTGATGCATTAATTTGATCAAAAGTGACAGTAAAGACATTTATAATGTTACAGAGATTTATTTAAAATAAATGCTGTTCTTTTGAACTTTCTATTCATTTAGGAATGCTGAAAAAATGTATCACATTTCCACAAAAATGTTAAGCAGCAAAAAACAACAACAAAAAAACCTGAAAATTTTTTTTAATAGTAGTGTATCCCAGAATTTGAAAGAAAAATATGACTACATATTAAATAATACATATACATTTATATAATTAGTTTTTATATTATAAAACAGAAGCAACATTATTGGTTCTAAATTGGTTTTAATATGTGGCTTTCAGAAATAATTGTTTCTAACTGTATATATATATATATTTAATGTATTTATATATATGTACATGTATATGTATATGTGTGTGGCTGTACATACACATATGTAGTTGTTTGAATAATAAAAACGTCATAAGAACAATATTTAATTGATTTGGTAAATATCCAAATAATAAGTGTCCAGTACATTCTCTCTAGTTCCTCTCTACACATTTTAGCTGAGATCTTCTCAGATTCTGGTGCGTTTAACAGAGTTCAGTGTGTATTTCTGACCGTCCTCTGGTTCCTCTGCGGCGCGGCGCTCTCTGACGCCTCCGGTGGCTCTCTGCAGTAACTGTCTCAGGTGGTGTTTGAAGACGGCAGTGTGGAGCTCCTCTCCCTCACAACCCAGGATGGCGCTGGCCATCTGCGCGCTGTCAAAACTCATAAACTGCTTACGACCCACTGAAGCCGCGCAAGAACAGAAAAACAGAGTAAAGACTCACCTAATACTTTTCGCTTGACAAAATACAGCCGCAAGTCTTGTCCTGATTTACCCTTGCATGTTCCTGCAACGCCGAGATGGTAGATTCCTGCCAAAACATGCCAAATGGCCTTCTGCTCATCCACTGAGAATCCTAAAGTGTTCATGGCGGCCAGTAGCTTCCCAAAACCCACTGAAGCTCTCTGCTTTTCATCCACCTGAAGAGAAGGATGAAAAACCAGCTTTATTAAAACATATTAAAGAAAAGTTGACGTCAGAACACACATCTGCAAGACACTTTGAGCCTTGGTGCTCAGGTTCAAGTCCAGTCTGTCTCATTTCTGTTGTATTATATCAATAATAGTGCCAAAAACGAAAAACAAATGATACATTTAGTTATTAAATATTAAAATCAAGTTTATTTGTATAGCGCTTTTCACAATACAAATTTTTAAAGGTTTTAATATCTTAATGTCTTAAGTCGCATTTAGAAGATTAGAGCTGGCCGATAATATAGTTGACATTTTGCAAAAATATAAACAATCAAGAAGTTGAGATTTGCTATATTGTATATATCGCTTTATGTTAGTATACTGTATGTATGTGGATAAAATTGGATGTAGATCCAACTTTTAATATATTGTTGGGCAGTAATGTAAACAATTATAATTTTTAGTTGAACTAAAAACATAAATTTAATAATACTAATAAAAATAACTTTTTTATATATAGCACCTTTAAAAGTAACTTATCGATTTAATTTAATTTACATTTAATTTAAATCGAGTTACATTTAATTTGATCATTTAATTGGAACTGAGTTACTTATTGTAATTCAGTTTAAAATGAATCTTAATTTAAATGAATTTATACTTTTTTTTTCTCTTTATTGGATGGAATTGTGGGTAGATTTGGAGAGAAGAGGATCAGGAAATGTTGCAAGCCAGACATAAATCTTTGTTTCCCACATGTGCACCAAAGCTTAACATGTCAGAGCAGATGCACTAATCATGTTAATCTAAACATTTACTTTTTTTCCCCTTATATTTTTTGGTTTTGCTTTTTTTAAACAGTTCATACCTTGGTTGGGCATGAAATTCCAAATGAGTTGTGTTCCTTTAACTGGTGCAGCTGCAGTTCAGTCCTGTGATTAGAACACAACAGTTACACTCAAATTTAAACAGGAAATGACATCAGACAAGATCCTGCCCCCCAAGCTCTCTGGAGCTTTTGTTTTAAGGCAAAGCTATGAAAAGAGCAGGCATTCTGCCAAAGTGGCGTTCGCTAAAGAGCTTGTGCGTGCCTCTGAGGGGAAACCGAATCCAAAAACAAACCCCTAACAATAGGGTGAATGATCTGGGGTTTAATGATGGGTAACTTTGTGTTTGCCATCTAATAACGCTGCACTCAGGCTTGTGAGGACAGAAGCCAGGAAACCAGAAAGAGGCTTCACAATACAAGAAGCAAATGCTACGGAGTGTGACCGCAGAGAGCTCCAGGGACCCAACTGACCTCATGTCTGTGCTGAGGCCTGCGAGCATCTGGGAGAAAACCAGGAAGTTACTCTCTCCCTCTGGCCTCTGACACACCCTCCATTTCTCCAGCAGCATAGTCTGAACCAGAGAGAGGAAACATTAGTTAGAATAGATGGACTAGACAGACAAATGGATAGATGGACAGACAGACAGACAGACAGATAGATAGATAGATAGATAGATCGATCTCACGTGACATTGCTGTGCTACGTGGACATGAAAACGTATAGTTTGCATGGGTTTTTAAGCATTACGGTTTAAAAACAAGTGATTTTAAGCCATTGAAATGCAATCAGCAGCGAAATATGACTCATTTCGCTGTATTTGCGAGCTGCCTGAGAGACTGTTTCTTAGTGCTGTCAAAAAGGCGTGCGCACATGAAGACGGTGCTCATAGTGCTGCTTTATAGGCCTTGAACGGTTAAATACACACACTTGTATGTGTCAAAATGCCCGTTTTTGCAAGTATCCGCGTAAACACAGTAATTTAGGTCTTAAGTGACAGCAAACAGCCAAGAAAGAAAACACGTGTAACAGTATATTGAATCCGGGCAGGTCTTAAAGTGACAGCAGTCTAATCTTCCTGCTGTCTGTCATTCATGTTAATCAAACAACAAAAGAGACAAAAACTCTCACTGCTCTTTGACTAAATCACTTTTGTAACTTTAATAAGAAGAAATATATAGTATATTTAATTTACACATGAAGAAAATGCAGTGTTTTTATACATTTGATTACTTTATACATTTGATTACTTTATACAATGTATGTAGCATTTCTTATTTATTTGTTCTACTGTAGTTTTTTGTCCTATTAATTGCAATTAGTTTCTTACTCTTTTTTTTTAATCGTTGACTGTTTACTTGTCTTCAGTGAGCTTGAGTTTTTTTGTTTTTTTAAGAATTATGACATTTATAGGGTATCAACAATTTTGATATCATAAAAGACCTTATTTAAAGCAAAAATATATATATCGTGATATATCGTTACTGACACATAAAATTGCTCATATTGTGATATAAGATTTAGATCATATTACCCACCCCTAACTAACAAACAAACAAACAAACAAACAAACAAACAAAAAGACAGACAGACAGACAGACAGAGAGAGAGATAGATAGATAGATAGATAGATAGATAGATGTACGAGCAGATGGATAGACAGACAGACAGATGAACAGATGGACAGATCGGAGCACCTGCAGATGTGCAGCAGCAGCGAGTCCGGCGTGGTTAAAGTCCAGTGAGAGCACCATAGCGAATCGAGTCGAGGCCTCGCTGTGAGACGAGCTCACACACCCGAACGAGCGCAGCACTGTAAACACTGCCTGGAGCCGCTCTACTGCAGTTACACACACAAATCATGTCTCACAACCTGTGACAATGGACAAACACCGCTAAACAGCCTCTAAACTGCTGCTATAGCGTTTCACCTATCACTTAACATCAGCAGAAGCAGATTCACACAGATTCAGTGGAGCGAAACACGTCACACTGTGAGAGGAAGACCCTCTTGTAATTACAGGATAGGAGCCTGTAACCACCAGAGGCTCCAATAAGTCAATTCAACCAGTGTGCAAATTCACGTTCGAGAGCTTTTGTTTTCTGTCGTTCTATAGCTTTGTGTTACAAACACAGAAGTGGATGCACTCACAGTTAAGGCTTCCTCCCGCAGTTCCCGCTTGTTTCAGCAGCTCCTGGGAAAATGACTGACAGGAAGTGGTCTTCCCTGTGCCACTGCGGCCCAAAGCCACCAGCGTCTGGTCCCTCCGCTGACCCACCATGGACACGTACACCCTCCTCACCAGAGCCTGCAGTGGGCCAGGAGCCTCCCAGGACTCCCAGCGTCTGCTCCGAAGCCCCTGAAGCAAAACACATTTCAAAAAGCTAATTCACACCCTCACAAAAAAGTTCTGTGGTGGGACCAAAGTCTTCATCTTGAAATTACAGCATTCTGAGTAATAAAGTATTTTTTATGTTACATACATACACGCCTTAATAAAAAAAAATTCAGCAACTGAACTGAATTTAAAATGCATTTATTTATTATTTAAAAATTTTTTTTTTTAAATAAAAGTTAATTAAATAAATTAAAAAAGTAAAGAAAATAAATGTATATACTGTATAACAATAGCCTACCACTGATATTAATAAATACATAATATAATATAACCTATATATTTTAACAATGCACAGTATATTATATAAATATTATAATATTTCATAATTTATGGACAATGACTGGTACAAATACCTCAATGTACAAATACCTTGATAGAAATTCAGCAACTGAACTGAATTTTAAGGCATTCTCAATTCATTTCTAAATAGTCCAAAACCTGATGGTATTATAACCAAAAAAACAAAAAACACACACACAGAAATGCTATGGTACTTTTTTATTTATTTAATTTTTTATATAAGCAAACTAATTTAGTCTATACATTTACAACTAATGTGCTGTATATGTAACTACTCTAACTAATGTCAAACTACACGTGTGATCATACAGGTCTCATTGATGGTTTTGTAAATACACTGCTCTTACCTTGCCTGGCGAGGACAGCGGAGGCCACAGAGCCAGTAGATTGGGCCCAGCGTGAGTCAAGGGTAGATGTCCTTTAGCTCGACTGGTCAGAGTGTGAAGGACGCTCGACTCGTTTTCGCTCACGAGGTCACTCAAGTCCTCACACAGGTCCAGCTCAGGTGGGTTCAGCTGAACACAGCCACCAAGAAAAGTCAACACTGGTCACGTACATCAGGAGGATGACTTAAGTAGGCGAGTAAACTGACTGTACACACATCCATGTGTACCGAACAAATACAGCGTCATGCCAACCACTGCATGCGCCGAGCTTAATTTGAAACTCCTAGTTTTAGACATTGTTACTTTTGATAAGAACAAAGTCTCATATTTCAGATTCTGTCCATTTTATTATGAAATTCAAACAATAAATGCCGTTTTGACGCTCTCTGATGTGGCATGAGAGATCGCTGTATTGGCGCCTCAGTTCAAATGACAGCGCGGGTGAACACGATCATCCCTTCCTCTTTACTTTCTAGTTTTAAAATGAAATAAACGTGAATGAACCTCGGAAGGTATGTTGAAAGAAACAGTACAACTAACTGAAATGTATCATGTCTTAAGTGATCGCTCATTCAGTGTTTCAACCGCAGAAAAACGTCAATAAAACAGCTTGTAAACAAAGTGTCATATAGCATTACATTTACCTCAGGAAAGTCATTCATTTTCAACAGCTCGTTAGTTGATGCCTTAATTATTTAATACAGATGTTTAAGTAAATCTGCCATACATTTTGTAATTATATTTAAGGTCCTTGCACACCGAGTCCGAAATTTTCATATGCGTTTTTTTTTTCATATTCTTCATCCTTTCCTATCAAAATGCTTGCTACGGATGCGAAAACGCAGAAAATCGAACCTGATCCCAATATTTTTATGACGGCCGAAAGTTTCGGAGGCAGTGCCTAAACGACGTTGACACAACGTGAGGTCGTATTTATTTTTTAACGTGCGAAAATTTCGGACTCAGTGTGCAATGACCTTTAGACGTTAATGTAAAAACAGCTTCTTGTGCAATTTACATGTTCGTATACATTTTTTTTATTTGAGTGTTTATTATTATATCTAAAATAGCATTTGAATTTAATAGTTCGGGACCTGTTGTTCATTGTAATTGTATTATCAATGTGCACGTAATAGGGCTTCCTATATAGTTTTCAAGCATTAGCTGAGGTAGATATTTATCCTTAAGAAAATTGTGACTATAATTGAATTTAAAGAGAGCAGTAATTTGTTCAGTAAACCACTGTTTAAAGGGGTCATATGATGTTGCTAAAAATAACATTATTTGGTGTAATGAAATGTGTTTATGCGGTTTAAGGTTAAAAAAAAAATTATCGCATCATATGACCCCTTTAATTTAAATGAAAAAGAAGTAATTTGATGTTTTTTTCCCATCATGTTTGTGTACCGTTACACCCCTAGTTAATAGCGTTGAATAGTTCACCTTTTCAATCTCATACTGGGAAACGTCATGGACGGATCCGTCAGAGTCCAGTCGAACCCTCACCCTGCCATCAGGGAGCTCCGGTGTGCCTTCGTCCGGCTTTAGCTGAGTGGCTGAGACAAATCAGAGGCCAGGCAGGTCAAAGGTCACTGTAAAACTCAATGTAAATCCAATGTTTTGTGTACAAGGTTGTGACATCTGAAAACCAGTGGCTTTGGCCACATCAAACTTGGTGCAACAACTCATATGAACTATTTTATTGGTGCTTTTGTTCTTTTTAGAGCCTGACAGCTTTTGGTTCATGAAGATACTGCAGTGCTGTGTGATGTATGCAGTAATCTTTGAATCTTGTAACATGGCAGCCTCGGCGCGTAGATTTAGCGAGGCTATGAGCCTGATAAGATAAGAACACTAAACCCATTCATCACTAAACTGAAGCAACGCAATAGCTAACGGCACCATAGATCCGATCAGCAAAAAGATTAGCTTCTGAACCCTTTCCGATCTTTTCATGCAAAGAGAATCTTGCATCAGAAGAGATATATTTTAAGCAATATGAAGTTAAAACGCGGGAGCAAGAGCTGACACTGAAAGCAATGCGGTGGCTTTTACATAGTATGAAAACAGTGACTTCTGGGATAGTACCAAAAATAATAATAAGGCCACATGTAAATAGCATCCTCTAAAACAACACGCTAATAATAACCTGTAACTCAACACCACAGGAGAGCTGGTCTAGTGTTCAGACATGACTTAGTAAAATTCAGGAATGATAAACCAGATCAACAACTACAAAAAATACCAAACAATGTGTCATTAACAACAGATTTTGTTCTCTTAAATGTCAGGTGGACACTCAAGCACAGGTGTAAGAGGTGACTAACCGAGTGTATAACCGTCTTTGTGAGCATACCACACTTTGCCAGCTTCATACCACACATCCCTCTGCAGAGAGAAAGAGAAAGAGAAAACAGTAAGTTAAAAGTAATGTAAAAAAAAAAAAGTTACAGCAATAATACAAAATATTATTAAAGTGAGTACCAGCAATCTCATAGTATAACCCATTTCTGCTGGGAGAGAAAATTAAAAAATAAAATATAACCAAAATAAAATCTACTTTTGATTTTATGAATATTAAGCTGACTTGCATATCAGAGTAATAAAATAGGTGAGAAAGTTTAAAGTAAGAAAAAAAAATCACAATTTTGTGACAATTGAGATAAAGTCACTGTGAAATATTAAGTCACGTGATACAAAGTCACAATTATGTGAAAGTCTCAGTTGGTGTCAGTTATAAGTCAGTTATATTAATAAACTTATTATTTGTTAAATTATTTTTAAATTATTAGATCCCTAGATCCCAGAAAGCAACATTAAGAACATCACAAAATGTTTTTAGCTTTACAAAAACTTGAAAGCGTAGAGAAGACTATGGTCAGAAATTTTCCAAAATTTGACGAAAACAATCACTTTTGGTGAAGGTGCTAGAGACACATGTAAAGCATCACGCTAATAGCAGTGATGTGTTTAGTGTATTTGTGATGTTCTACCTACCACTGGAACCTTGGGCTTCTCTCTTATGGGGGTTACAGTGATCTGACCCTCAGGCTCTTGCACTTCCTGTTTCAGGGGTTTAACTTCCTGTTGCACCGTTACTTCTTCTTTCTTCACTTCTTTTTCCAGTGGTGGTGCTGGAGATTTCGCTGTCTCTGTCCTGAGGCTGACCTCTGGTGTGGTAGACTTTGAGCCGGTTTTTGGAGTTTTTGGGTCGGGTGACATTATCCTCCTGGGGGAGGACGTTTTCTTCTCTGTCAATGCGGTGTGGCGGCCACGTTCCCCGTTCACCAGCTGCTCCACTCGAAGCGCCATCTCCGCTTCCAGTATCGGTGGAGTTTGGTCGGGAAGTAAGAAGTTCTGGACCAGGTTGTCGCTGAGTTTCCTGGGCTGTGAGGGGCATTAAAAACACAAGGTGCTTGATGTAAGTCATCTTCATATCAAAACAAGCCCTCACATGCTGGTAAAGCCAGCTCATAATGGTGAGTTAATAAATGATAACAGTCAGTGGCATCAATTATTTGAAAGAAACTTCTTAAGAAAGAAGTTAAGACATTTCTTACGATTCTAAGAGGTTCGTAAGAATGTTCCCAACTGCAATAATTGAAAAGTTTGCAAATATTTTCTTAAGAACAACTTTTTTTTTTCTAAATAAAGAAGCCAAGGCATTTCTTAAGATAAATTCTAAGTTCGTAAGAATGTTTCTGAGTGTAATTTTTGAAAAATTCGCAACTATTTTAAGAACTTATTTTTTTCTTAAGAAAGAAGTTGACATTTCTTAAGATCAATTCTAAGAATTCCTAAGTGTAAGTCTTGAAAATTTTGCAAATATTTTAACTTAAGAATGTTCCTTAGTATAATTCTTGAAATTCGCTAATATTTTTTATTATATTATATTAAGATACAGTTATATATATATATATATATATATATATATATATATATATACATACAGACAAATTCTAAGTTAATAAGAATACTCATAAGTGTCATTTTTGAAAACTTCACTAATATTTTAAGAACAATTTTTTTCTTGAGGAAGATGTTAAGACATTTCTTAAGATAATTTTGTGACAATGTTCTTGAAATTCTTGAAAAATTCTCAAGTTCTTAAATATTTGTTTGCCCTAAGGAGAAAGGTAAGACGTTTCTTAATATCAATTCTAACAATTCAAATTCTTGCAATTCTTGAAATGTTTTTGTTTTTAACAAAACATTGTTTTGACATTGTTTATTCTTAATAAGTTAAGACATTTCTTAAGATGAATTCTAAGAATTTCTAAGTGTAATCCATGAAAAATATTCTAAGTTCGTAACAATTTGCTTAAGTGTAATTATTGAAATTTGCTAATATTTTAAGAACATCTTACTTTTCTTAAGAAAGAAGTTTGTATAGAAACATTCTTCAGTTCACAAACATTTTCTTTAGAGCATCTTTATAGTGTACTGTAGACTATTCATAAGATAAATTCTAAATTTGAAAAAATGCAATTCTTAAAATAATACTTCTAAGAACATTCTATTTTTTGTTATATTCATGTATTTCTGTATATGTCATGTTGTGTTGCTTAATAATTCAAAATAATTAAACAAGTCATTAAACATCTTACCTTTGGGGATTTAAAGGGGTCATATGATGTTGCTAAAAAGAACATTATTTGGTGTATTTGGTGTAATGAAATGCGTTTATGCGGTTTAAGGTAAAAAAAACACATTATTTTCCACATACTGTACATTATTGTTTCTCCTCTATGCCCCGCCTTTCTGAAACGCGTCTTACGCCTTCTTTTTTTGCGTGAACATTTGGGCGGTGTTATGCAAATCTTCCCACATAGTGACGTAGGTATGTGGGGGTGTGTTAGAACGAGCCGTTTTAGGTAGGCGTGGTTAACTTTTAACTTTTATAAAGAATATCTCTTTGGATTTGAGACTTTAGTCTTTGCAACTTTACATATCTTCTTTATGCACCAAGAGCTTGTAACACTCCAAAGAGAAAGGAAAAATTGAAATCGCATCATATGACCCCTTTAAGACAGGTTGGAGGTTATCTGAACCTAGGTTATTTAACTCCGCTTTTCAGGAATTCACACATTCTAAGAACATTCTTTTCAGGAATTTAAATTGTTCTTAAGTTTTGTCTTTTGAACATTTAAGTAATGTTTTTGGGAATACAAAACATTCTTAAAGTTAGATAGCAGTTACGAAGAATGTTATTCTGAAGAATATTTTGACTGGCATCTGGTAAATCATCTTGATCAAGTTGGTTGGAAGATGGAACCACCCGCTTCAGTGTTAAATACCCCACTTTTTCCAGCAGAATCCCACCCAGTGAAGTGAGATCTCACCATCTTCTCCTCCTTGAGCTCTGGCTCTTTGTGGCGCGTCTCTTTCTCGGTCTCTCTCACCAGCTGTTTGAGGAATCCTCCCGGGACGGCAGAGAGAGGAGGAGGAGGCTGTGTAGCGGCGGTGGCGGCTGGAGGCTTCTTCTCCTCCTTGATCTGTTCACAGATGAGGAATACAGGAGCTCCAGTCACGAACTCCACACAAACAAACAACTGACACAATCACATGAAAAATGCTTAGAAGGCAACAACATTCCCACTGCAGACATGCATTTTCTTATTTAATATTTTTTCATAACATTTTACACAAGTATTGTTTTTAAGAATGTTTTTGTTTTATCTGGAACAAAAATTAAAATCACAAAAATAAAACAATGATTATTTTTCCTTTCATGTACAAAAAAAGCAAATTTTGCATATATATTTGTTTTGATAAAATATAACTAATATATACCTATATAAATGTAATTTTGATTAGTTTACTTATATTTCCTATTTTTTTATTTATTTTATATATACAATAAAAACAACAGTTTACACAAGTAAATGCATAATGTTTTAAGGATGCTTTATCTGGAAAACAAATGTTTATATGTATATTATATTATATACTATATACATTAGTAATAATTTAAATACTATGGTAAAGATGATTAACATATTCATATACCGTGGTATTAAGAAACGTGCAAACAAACATGGCAATGCAATACCATTTTTGTTTTGGAAAATAATCAAAGACTTCCCTCATCAAGCACAATAACTTATTAAAGCTTGATATTTAGCTTGTTAGCTTATGTATGCTAACAAGCTACAGTACATACATCCCTCATTTCCAATTTACCATAGTTCATGCACAGTAAACATAAAAAGGATATTTGTAGTACGACCATAGTGACCACAGGTAAAATCAATATAATATTCAAAAAACAATATTTGGTATAACTTAAACATTTAGCAACTGCAGGCTACTACAAATTATCGTGAAATTATAACCTTACTTTCCCAATATTAGCATGACTATTTACCATGAATCTTCTGCCAAAACACTGTATGTTACTACAGCTAGTTGTACCATATTAAAGCCATGGTAAATGTATATGAGAGCGAACTCTAACGATACTATTTTTAGTATCTCTATCTCTTTTCACTCTATTCGACCACTATTAAACACATGTGAGCTGTCAGCAGGCCAGCAGAGCTGAAACTCTAGACACAGTCTACAATAACTGCACTTCATGAGCGCTAGCCAGCGGAGAGCATTCAGTCTGCAATACCAGCTAGCTTAAACTGCCTGTGAAGCTTGTATGCTGTTATATGTGACCCTGGACCACAAAGGAGCTGGGGTATATTTGTAGCAATAGCCAAAAATACATAGTATGGGTCAAAATTATCGATTTTTTTAAATGCCAAAAATCATTAGAATAGTAAAGATCATGTTCCATGAAGATATTTTGTAAATTTCCTACCATAAATATATCAAAAGTTAATTTTTAATTAGTAATATGCATTGCTAAGAGCTTCATTTGGACAACTTTAAAGGCGATTTTCTCAATAGTTAAGTGTACACGGCAGCTGGAAACAACTGGAAAAGTCTTTTATTTGGCTTAGTTTAGGACAATAGACCACATGACAGATTCAGGTCGAGTTAAACCCCTTGATTTACAGAATAACGGCACCCATGCTAAGACTCCCGTCATGCTAATAACAAGCAGTGGAGCACCATAGAGAGCCACCGAGCAGCAACACGGGTCACACTGAGAGAATTAAAGCCTGCTTA